CAACAACAACAACAACAACAACAACAACAACAACAACAATAATAATAATAATAATAATAATAATAATAATAATAATAATATGTGGCAGTTCCTGGAGACAGCAGAATAGACGAGAAAGAACTGGAGAAGATAACAGAATACAAAGACCTACAAATAGAAATAGAAAGACTGTGGCAAAAGCAAGCAAAAGTAGTACCAATAGTAATAGGCACCTTGGGTGCAATCCCAAAACAACTGGAGCACCACTTGAACACCATCATCGGCATTGACAAATTCGCCATTAGTCAATTGCAAAAGGCGGCCTTACTAGGAACTGCTTCCATCCTGAAGTCCATCTTTGTGGCAGCCCCTGAGATACTGGAAGGCTGCTATCATGTCCCCCCTCGTCCTTCTCTTCATTAAACCAGACATACCCAATTCCAGCAACTGTTCCTTGTATGTTTTAGCCTCCAGTCCCCTAATCATCTTTGTTGCTCTTCTCTGCACTCTTTCTAGAGTCTCAGCATCTTTTTTACACTGTGGTGACCAAAACTGGATGCAGTATTGGTTTTAGACTAAGGACTGAAGCCTTCCTGCTCTTTTGTGTTGTTGTAGCAACAGCAGGAGAGGGACGAAATTCAGCCAATATCATGTACACTACACAAACACAGAAAGGACCTTGGTAGAGACCATAGTTTCCCTCTTCGGTAAACAGCAACAGATGTCACGATAGAACTAAATCTGTCACTAATGCAGATCCAAACCTGTATGCAGCATGTGGCTTGAAATAACAATCCCAGGTATTGCTCTCACCTGTTCTGCTAGCCGTCACGCTGCAGATGGCGGTGCACAAGGATAAAACCTGTTAGGCACTCATTTTTTATTCTGCTTTGCGTATAAATAAATTCAATCCACGTAGCAAAAAGGCCAGGGTTATAGGGAAGTCTCTTTGTTGCATTAGAAAATGAGTTCCTCCTGTATGCTGGAAAAGTGGTTTGATTAAAAATTAAGGCAATTCGTCTGACACAGAGTTCAGATCGCTGTAGAAATTTTCCGTCCTGTTTTGCACGGGTGTGTCTCCAGAATTGGACACGCAATTATTCAGCAAGACGTCGGGCCCAATTCTACAGTTTGTAACCACGGCGCTTGTAATTATTTGGTACGAATGCTGCAGACAGTTCAATTTCTAGCAGAACTCAGAGGTATTCTTAGTTTTCTCCTTGCCCCGCTCCTGTTAGGGCCCATCCCTTTTGTATTGTTCTACGGGGGAAACTAATTCTATTTAAAAGAGAATAAAAACCATCCAAGAAAATTATTAAATAATAATTGGAGAACAGTCATGTTGCCTGGAGGGGGGGCTTCCGGGACTCATAGTTTCTGTTCAATGAGCAGGTAGTAATTGTGGCTAGGAAAGTTTTTCCAGAGCTTCATCTGGTACACCAGTTGTATCCTCTCTGTAGAAGAAGGACAGGCAGAGTCTGGGGCTGGAGTCAAGAGAGGAATCAACCTGAAGTCATTATGCTGCCACAAATGGTTTAAGCCCAATCCCTCTTGAATTCCACTATCTCTACCTAGTGACAATTTAGTGCTGACCATTAGTTCAGAGGTCTCCAACCCATAGTCTGTGGACTGGTACTGGGCCACGGTATACTAGCAACTGGGACGCACAAAAAAGCAAAGCCCCATCCATGGGATGCAGGCAGCACACAAAACCACGCCCTCTCCTCATGGTTCATTTACAACTGATAGTACAAGGCATATGTTTTACAGATTTTTTTTATAACTTGCTTATTTTCTTGTGGTACACGGTGTCTAAAGCTCTGAATGTTTGGACAACAAAGTAATCAATTCATTTGAATGGCTCTGCCTTTCATTCTGGCCTGCAACGATTGTTTCTGTGTGTAAATACAGCCTGATTTGGCTACCCACACAATGTATTACAAACCAAATAAACTGGCTTCAGGGTTGGCTGCGTAACAACTCGACACTGTCATTATTATACAGTTGCCATGCTGGCATATCTGAACAAACAATAGTTCATTCATTTATTCAAGGAATAAATCATTTAGTTTGCAGAAAGCCAGCGTGATGTTTTTCATGGTCAGTTTGTTATCTTAAGGCAGGGGTTCTTCAAACTTGGCCCTTTGATGACTTGTGGACTTCAATTCCCAGAATTCCTCAGCCAGCGTGCCTAGCTGAGGAATTCTGGGAGGGGTCTTCAAACTTGGCCTTTTATGACTTGTGGACTTCAACCCCCAGAATTCTTCAGACAGCCTGCCTGGCTGAGGATTTCTGGGAGGGGTCTTCAAACTTGGCCCTTCTATGACTCGTGGACTTCAACCCCCAGAATTCCTCAGACAGTGTGCCTAGCTGAGGAATTCTGGGAGGGGTCTTCAAACTTGGCCTTTTATGACTTGTGGACTTCAACCCCCAGAATTCCTCAGACAGTGTGCCTGGCTGAGGAATTCTGGGAGGGGTCTTCAAACTTGGCCCTTTTATGACTCGTGGACTTCAACCCCCAGAATTCCTCAGACAGTGTGCCTGGCTGAGGAATTCTGGGAGTTGAAGTCCACGAGTCATAAAAGGGCCGACTTTGAAGACCCCTGATTTAGGCACTCCAACTCTCAAAGGGAAATAACCTCCTTTAATATTTTACCTTTGGCACCGGAAGTTAAGAATTTTTTACCAAGGTAGAAAGGCACGGAGGGTTACAGAGATTTAACTTGTGTAAACTACCGTAGATTTCCCTCCTTGCCCCATGCCTTTAATTTCTAAGGTTCACAATTTCTTACTCCTTTTCTGCATTCTGCATAAGATGGTTTCATC